ATAAAAAATTAAAATAAAAAAAAATAAAAAATCATAATCACGTTTGTTGAAATGCCGCAAATATCAGCTCCTGGGAATTATGGTTGATAAGCGCTTGAAAAAGCATACTGGCTGGGTTAGCAGAAAAATCAACAAATCCACTGATACAATGAGGAGGGTTAGCTATCTTGCACTTAAAACCAGTTTCCTTAATGATTAATAGTTTCATTTATCCCCATCTTTCCTTTTGTAATGTAGTTTGAGCGAGTACGTTTCCTGCTGCTCTCTGCAGAACTCTTACAGAAGTGTTTTGTTAGGACTGCATCGTGTTCAGAGTCATATATCGCATCTGTTCCTTTATTTGGAAGCTTAAGATTTCTGCTATTTATGACGTCAATATCCATCTAGTATGTGCCTTTATTTATAAGTTATATTCTAGCAAAGGAAATCTCCCTAAGCAGACTCACTTTAATGTCACCTCACAGGTACATGATTACTCAGCTTTATTTCCTAACTTCCTCACTTGCAGAGGTAATTTTCTACAGTTCTTCTACTTCATTTGAAAACATTTCAGTAATCTGACATTCATTTTATGTAGTCAGATCATTTATTGTGTTTTTCCATAACAATGATATTTTTTCATATATGAAATAGATGGCAGCTTCAAGGTCAACTTTATCCCCTGCTGCACTGTGTTATTTATTATCTTTGTCTTTTAAATTGTGCAGGTGAATTTTTTTTTTTTAACTGATGTTGTTAATAGAAGGAAAAGAAGAGGATGTGCTATCCCATTCAACAGCTGTGCATTTGACAACAAGGACATGGGAAATAAAAATGACTCCTGACACATTTCCTGATCACAAACCTCAGTGGAAATATAACAAGATGGGCGACCGCAGATGCTGAACAAAAGGAAGAGAAGCTTTCTGCTTTGGATGGTTTAGAAATGAGCTCACTGGGCTGGGCTCGCTCTTCACTCTCATGGACATATGGCTCTATTCTAATAAAATATTCATACAACAATAAAAGTGAGTCACAAGTAGGCTGAATGCCTGATTTTTAATGACATGTTAAATGAAATAAGAGAAGCCCGAAGAAGGAAAAAGCTATTTAAATTCACTAAAATAGTCAACTTGAATTTTTTTAATTATTACGAGTTAATATGGAAGCAGCACATTAAATAATCATTTAGACCTACAACTTTTCACGCTGCCTTCTGTGCAGCTCACATTTTTTTTAAATCAGCCTGGGCGGCTGGAAGCACATGAACTGTGTTTAACTCTTTTGACCTCTGTGGGGTAAATGAGCGAGCAGCAACAACAATTGACTTTTCACCTACTTCTATTATTATCAACAAACCTGTGACAAATGGAACCACTGCCAACTGGCACAAAGTTCTGCAGTGACGCTGTCATTGACTTATAATTGTGGATTCAATTAAAATTATATATATATACACACACATGTTAAATGACAAATAACTACTGTAAACTGAGCTGAGATGAGAATTTTTATATTGAAGAACAAACCACAAAGTAAAGGCTACATTCATTACAAGTGTTCGGATCCGTTTATCCTCTCGGAAGGAAAAAAAAAAAGGTTCCGAAATCATAAACTTTAGATTAAACTGTATTTTTAAACACCATAAAAAAGAGAAGCAGCAATAACATCTCTTTCAAATCACCTCAAGGACAACCTTAAGTGCAGCTAAGTACATTTTCACAAATCTAAGCACTGATTATTGACAAGCAGAAATAAAAATCAATCTCTTTACTCACTGCTCACAGCGTGTGTCTGAAGAAAGGTCGAGACCGTGGCCACAGTGGATATTTGAAAGGCCCTGTGCTGCTGCAGTTGCTATTAGAAGGACTCAGACTGACCTCTAATAGACCTCTGAAGTTCTCACAACTATGAATAGCAGAAACACGCCCCTTTCAAACAGAAACACACACACACACGACACACCACACAAGTCACTCACTGAGGTACTGTTTAGCTAACAGGTACCTCAAACTCATTGCCGGTTTCTTTACTGATGTGAGCTTTTTGTGTTTGTGAACACAGGTGTGCATTTGTCTGTTTGTAAAAGTAGCTTAAAAGTAATCTTAGAAAAAGCTCAGAACAAACTGAAAGCTGATCTGAGTGATTCGAGCATTTTTATTTATGTTTATTCAAGAGTGAATCACCAGTATCTTATCACACATTGTCTTTATCTACACAAACGGAGTGTTAAGTTCTTGTGTTGCTGAGCAGCCAATCTAATGAAGCTGTGGAACAAAGAGGTACGTACTGATTATATGTCATGCTGTGTATTCTGTGTGATAGATATGTTGACAGACCTGATCTAGCAGAGATGTCGACACCAACATACACTCGTCTCAGAATGTACAAAGTCACCAAATAATGTGTGCAAACCATATGTGCAGAGTCCTTCGTGTCTAAGATGAATAAAATAACATTTCCAAATAATGATGGCTAACTAAGACGAGTTTATTTGCGAGTCTGGACATTTAGTGTATTACACAGTTTCTACATGGATTTAAAGTCTTCTGGCTTTAGCAAATCGTGGACTGAGTCGAATAAGTGTGATACGTTGTGGCTATATTGAACAAAGTGAATGCAGATTTTTGTGAAAAGTAAAGGAAGCATGCAGGCTAAAATGTAGACATGCATGGAGTCAAGAAAACTCAGTGTGGATATGAATAATTTTAAGAGTTCAAGCCATTTTTAATTTTTAAGACTGATACTGAATACAGAATACCACATTTAAATCACCGATATTCTGTGATTTAAATGTGGTATTCTGATATATCGGCTGATATTTTTCCTTTTCTTTGGGACACACGGAATGTAAATAGATTTTGTTTACGTTTCTTACATTTTTAGTTATTTATTTAACTGTAGTGATCCAAACAAACAGGAAATTTCAGTGCGCCCTCTGATGGACAAACTGAAAATTAACATGGTTGAAGGGTGTTTCTTCCATATTTTTATTTATATCATGTTTCAAAACATTCACGGGACACCGTTTTTACAGCTGTTTTTCTGGACCTGTTGATCACAAGTAAAGTATACATTTAAAAATAGGACCTCATTAGCATAAGTTGGGTTTCACACCGATAAACAACTCGTTCAAAATCTCTGAACTCCTTAATGAGCAACAGAGAAAAAAAAGGTCCCCAAAAAAATGACTAAATGTAACTCATGCACATGTCTCGCTTACTACTAACCCCTTTATTAAATTACAGTGTTTATGCCACACTGATCTTCATCAGGTACAAAGGCAATGTCATTGTATCCACTCCTTTATTTACAGATCACACTCGTGCAAAAATCCTACACTAGCCTACCATACAAGACAGCCTGCAGGGATCCAAATGACCTAATAAATTAAGAATGAGTTTATAAAATCATTTAACATTTTAAAATACAAACCTAAGAAATTTGGAGATTTGATTGTGTTTTGTGTTGTGTTAATATTGTAAAAATATTGTTTTGTAAGCCTGATTTTGTTTTAATTGGTTTTATATAGAAATAACTAAACAATCTTGGTTCAATAATTTATTATTTGCATCAGTAAACCACACGCTGCACAGACCGAGTAACATCTTCACACATCTTATTTTGCGAGTGTCCATTACAGACCTACTCTGAGAGTACGCGTTTCTGTTTGATGGCCAGCAGTGGCACATGACACTGGTGTCATGCTTTGCTAAGAGTTGTCAGAGGCAAAAGGTACCACTACACCCACCACCACCACCCCCATTAACCATACTTGGCCTGGGAGGATGAGGAGCCAATGGCAGAGCCAGCTCGGCAGTCACCCCACAAACATAAGGCACTGGAAAAAAGAGGTGGAGGGGCAGTGGGTTCATTTGACACATAACAGAACATGAAGATAAGTTGGCAACAGCCTCAAGCTTGCAGGCAGGTTACAGCTGTTTGGTATAAGAGACACTCTTACCGCAGTCAGGAAGCTACAAAAAAAGCACAGTTGGTCAGTCATACTTGAATTCTTCTGAAATGCTTTGGTTCCTCTTAGAGGAATGATGCAAGACATCTGAAACCTTAAAGCAGTGTGATACTGAGCTGCTTAGTCAGTTGTTGAGCATCAGATAAACCTGTTTAATCTCATTATTACTACCTTATGAAAGGAGGGTTAAACATTAAGCTTTTAAACACATAAAACATAATCCTATGTTAACAGGTCAGCTACTTTCTCTCAGGTTTACATGAACTGGGGTGGTATACAGTATAACTAAAACAGTAAGTGTCTTTTTTAAGTAAATTAAATAATGTGTGTTGTGTTATGGCTGTACTAAAATAAATGTTTAAATTTCTTTTGTTGAAACCAAACTTCACAGGTGAGCGGTGGAACTAACCGAGAAACCAAGGACGCTGCACGCTCATATGGCAGGGACTTGTTAATCCCAAAGTCGCCACTCCCTAAAGCATACCCCTTATTGTCCATTTTACTCAAAATAGGACCATAACGCACATAACCTGCCATTAGGAAGAATGCAGGTTTGAAGCACTTCCACACTGGCTTCCTCTTTCAGACCCGAATGCGGTCAATAGTAGGTCCAGCTGAGAAATAAAAAAGCATCAGTTAGTGTCAGTGAAGCACTGCTTCTGCTGTGTGAGAACACATGGTTTTGACAGTAGCTAAAACCATTTTCACACATGCACGCTGACCCTGATGGAGTTGCATGTGACAACACAAAGGTCCATACAGGCGAACATTAAACGGTTATAACCTGCTAGCTCCTTGGTGCAAAGTCTGTGTGGTGTCAGGTTGCAATGGTCTGAGAAGAGTGAATCATAAACCGATCTCTGAGGGCATCTTCTGCATCTTGCCCATTTTAGGGTCTTCTAAAAAGCACTTTATGTTTAACTGAGATATGTAACAGTACAATTCTTTTCTGATATACCAAGATAAAGAAACTAGCATGGTATTTCAGTGTAAATCATCACCGTGCGCATCTATAAATCAGTGCCTGCTCCACTTCATCATTGTTGGTCTGTTAAAGACTTTCCTCTTTAAATTGCTCACTAAAGCGCACACTTTTTTTGTACTCCGAGACACGATATCATAACTTCTTCATGATGAGACCAGGCTTAATGCAACATGTGTTGAAACTTGACAACAGCTTTCTCACTGGTGAGAGGAAACACACCAAAACCTCACTGGTAATTCAACAGTTTGAAAATAAAGCACAGCACAGCGCCTAGGAAGTGATTAAAAGAAGAAGAAAAAAAGAAAAAGAAAAGAGGAGTCAATATATTCTTATGGATGTAATGAGATATCCTTGCATACAGTATAAATTCACAAGGGCATTCACACACCCTAAAGGCAACTGACAAACCAGTTTTTCCTGATTAGCGTGGCAGATGAGGGGCACTCTGAAAGGCGCACAGGAAGAGAAGACCTCCACCCATTTTTATGTGATCAACGTGGCAGACCAACTGACATGACCAGCATTACACTGAGAGACATCCCAGCACAGCTACAGGAGGCCTGCTTTAACTCGTATGAGGCTTCACTCTAGTGTCTCTCATGTCCTGCGATCCTCTGGCTGACTGTGACTTTTAACCCTGGTTTTCGGACACATGACCTGACCTTGCACAAGACAACCAGACTAAAGATTGCAGGTCATAACCTCCTTGATGAAACCACACACTCCAAGTCACATGGTCACACAGCGGAGAAATGTAGAGGTTGGAAAGAGAGGGTGGAGGACGAGCTCGCTTATGTAGGACAAAGGTCACACAACTCTTAACAACTCCCGACACACCATTGGGGCAAAGCAAAAAAACAACCTGACATAGTGCTTTCACAGTGAAACATTACATTATAAAACCCCAAAAGCATCATTATGCTTTAATTTGCATCATTATCCTTTAAATCGCTAAGATTTGCTGCCAATCTGAAGTTTAGCAAGCACTATTTACACGGTAAATAGTTGTGCTTGCTAACATGTGCTAATTAACACAGATCACATGGAGGGCTGGAAATGTCAGTGGATTTGTGGCAAACTTGAATCCATTTAGCAGTTTTTTCATTAAAGAGGTGCTAAAAGGAAAAAAAGGGGGATCCTCCAAGATCCTTTTGATTTTGGATCATCTTTTCCAAGAATGTAACTACTATTTTATTTTATAAGCAATCTGCCACAAAAGCAGCACGCCAGAGCTGATTGTTGTGTAAACATCATCCAGCTCAGTCCTTCCACCTTGCTAGCACCAAAGCAGACAGAAAGGCTGATACTGGTACTGTCGAAAGACTAAAGGCCACATGGCAAACCACGCTGTGCCACATCCTGGGTTTGCTTTAATGAAAGCTCCTCCTCTACTTGAGTACTAAAACCGCCCACACGATTGCATCTTTATGGTAACTGTTCATGTGACTGCCCTGCATGACCGCAACAGCATTACCTAGTGTTTCAAAAATTGGGTTTAAAATGGGAGGAAAACAGCAGGCAGCATTCCAGAGATTCCTGTTAGAGGAAGTTTGCATAAAACGCCTTCAGACACAAGCACATATCAGAGCTGCTCTCCAAAAAGTGATGTACACCAACAACTGACTGCTAAGCACTCAATTATGATTCACTTTCACCTAATTTTCTTTCTTATAGAAGAGGCTGGAACTTATTCATAATACTCAAGTATCCAACTACCGGCTACCAGCTGTCCATGACTTCTAGTCTGAGAGATTTTTTTCCTTTGAGGGGAAATGACAGAAACAGTCCAGCTTTTGAGTGGAAAACCTGCTGTTTTTCTCATATCTGCAGTTAATTCTAAACACACGAATCCTTCACATTTCAACAAGCTGTTAAACCTTCTTGATTTGTCTAATATGCATGAAAGTGAGTCTGCTCGACAATCTTATGTTTAATTTGATATCTGGAACATGCATGTTGTCCTCCAGTATAAGTAGGCAAGATATAAAGTATCTGCTGGCAAATGAAAGAGCTACAATTGAATGTAGAGTAAATGATGGCCATCTGCATCTCAAAGGGGCAGCAATCACAGGCCAGTCAGAATAGCTGTGGAGAAAGAAATTGAGATGCACTGATTGACCAGCCAGAAACCAGAATTACACAGTTTCCACTGTTCTTAACGTGGATTGGTGACTGGCTGGTCATGCATGCATTACTCACACATGGCAGCACAGGCAAATAGTCCCACGCAAACTCTTCACTCATGTTGGACATGAGTGAAGACGTAACGGTCACTAAAGTAAGCTGCAAACATATCTGAAACAACAAACTTAAAAAGAAACTTAAACGTGGACATTTTAAAGAAGCTAACAAAGGCAAAATGGCTAGCAGCCTCGGTATGAGCAAAGGATCAGATCAGTTATGGAGAGAGGAATAAAAAAAAAAAAAAAAAAGGGAAAAGGTTGATGATCTGTTATCTGGTAACAATATAAAAATACAGAAAAATTATGTAAGTACCAGACATTTATTTTTATAAATAAATCTGCTGCACTTGTTAGTTGTGGTAAAATATGTCAGGTAAAGGTGGGTGTACAGCAACTCATGTTCATTCGTTATTTGTAACTTTTTTCCAGGGGCAGGACAGTTTACTTTCAGTGTTGAGAGAAAAGTATATAACTTACAGAAGCCTGTCACATTTAAATAAGTCTTTATCACAAAAAATCCTAAATACACAAAAATCACTATGGGCAAGTCACACTAGGTGAAAAATCAGAAATTGGAATAGGCCAAGAAAACTACAATGGTGGATCTCTAATGAGAA